TTATTGGAATATGATTTTTTGCATAAGATGGATCAAGTAAGGAATAAAAGCGTCCAGTCCATGGTGATATTTTTCCTTAAAAAAAATTAAACAATGTGCGTGAGAGTACATTATAAATGTGAAATAATGTTTTATATATATAGTATTTATATATATATATATATATATATATACATATAATGGGTTAAAAAAAATACATGATCAATACCTGTGATGGTTAAAATACCACCAACTATACATGATGTTGTAATCACCACAGCAAGCAGAGCACGGAATAATATTTCAAACTCCTTTTGAGATAATTTACTCCGCAAATAATCTACTAATGCGTGAATTTGACAGAGGCCAAAAACACCTAGTGCCTAAGAAAAATAAACGATATAAAATTTTACATTTCAAGTCAAATACTGACATTCACTTTTTTAATAATGTCTTAAAAATATCACAACTTACAAGCATGTGCTCGGAACTCTGAACAGGTTGAAAACCAACAAATGAGATCTGCATAGATAAAATGGTTCCTAAACAATATAAAATACTATATGCAATGTATATCCTGTGAGAAAATCTGCCAGTCACCATCAATGTTAGCACATGCAATGGAATCAAATTAATTAGAAAGACATATCCGCCCCAAGAAGACACCATATAGAAGTAAGCCAATGCGGCGCACGTAGCCCAACATATCGCTCCTGTTTTCACAGCTTTAATCCACATGTAGTATGTAAACAGCATACAAAAAATCGCTATGCCTTCATTGTCATAAGAACCTGCGACTGACCGAGATATATAACCAGGTACAATTGCAATCATTGCAGCTGCAAATAGGCCTGATGCTGAATCCTAAAAAGATAAATTGAACATGAATAGAATGCTATTACATCTTGCCTCAAATAAGATGCTATACTCTGTATAATTAATAAAAATATAAACTATACCTTTAATTCTTTAGTAAGCAGATAAGTAATAATTGTAGTTAAACTTGAAAACAACGGAGCAAGGAAGACACAAATGTTGCGTATATCTAGTGTAATATTCAATAACCATGAGATACGATATAATGCTGCAGAAGTTATCATCAAACCAGGATATATGGTTCCTACAAAATTAATATTTAAAATATTAAGTTTTTTCTTCTTTATAAGCACACAATCAATACCTCCTATTATCCTGCCAAGTGGATACCAAACGCGATCATCAAACCAATTGTGAAAACTGTAGAATCCATTTTCAGCTAAATATTTTGTGGTGCGATAATTGAAGTACGGATCAAATTCATGAATAACACTTTCAAATCTTAGCACTGAGAACAAACGTGTTGCAAATGCTGAAAAAAAATATTATAATACAAAGATGATTGAATATAACTAATTAACATTTTTTTATCTGATAAATTAAAGTACAAAGGTGATAATAAACCTACATAAAATTGCTGCTAAGGAAAGCACAGTTAACTTCAAAAGTGTTTCTTGTTTCTGTGCCGTCATGCGCAATCCTCTTGTCTTTAGTAACGTCGCCATGTCAATGCAGAGAAGTGCACAGTAATTTTAAATGAAATAAATCTTCTATCTTACAGCATCAATCTACAAATAAATCAAAGCTCCTTTAAACCATCCTTCCTCCATATATACTTGTGTGTTGGCATATCCTAAACAACATGCATTAAGTACTTTTCAATAAGAGACATAGATACAGTATAACACCGTCAATTATTATACCTTATTGTTTATCAATATTAAACAAAGATAAAATAATCATTGTGTTACACTGTAGATACTTTCGAGCCATGGAATAATCATATACTGTATGACACAATAGTGCACAGTGTTAACTTGTAGCTAAAACACTGCTTAGCCTTTTTATTTTACTGTTAAAATGAAACAAAAGAAGGTCTCATACACTTGTCTAAATATTATATATCCAAATACAATCTTAAAATCTTTTATCAAAGTACTATTTTTAGAAAGATAAATGGTACTAAAATATAAAAATTTGGTATTCATGAAATGATATAAGACAATGATATGACACAGCTGGTACTTTTCTACAAGACACATAGTATAATACAGTGATCATATCATCTTTGTTTAATATTGGTAAACAAGGATGTAATGATTTTGTATATTATACCTACTTTGTCATCTGTATCTCTTGCTGGAAAGCACCTAGCATTTTAGTTGTGTACATTTGTATTAACTTTTTTAAACGAAGATATTTGTGCATCAAATGGAGTAACAATTTTATTTGTTAAAAAATTTTTGCGCATCTCCTTCCGCGTTAACTCTCAATAGCCTAGATTATTTTTTTGTTATTTTAAAGAGAGAGAGAGAGTCTTTGGTAAACATTTATTTCCTTGTATTAACTTGTGTTATAGTTGGAAAGCGTGGAATTGTACACTGTATTAGACAGTATCGTCTATTTATGTTACTGGAAAGCATCCTCCAGCTCTTGCTGAAAAGTACCATATGTCTAAATTTCTTTTTATAATGTTCTTTAGATATCTTTTAGATATGTGTCTCGAAAAACATCTTTATGATGTCTTTTATATATGCACGTTGTCTAGATGCATTGCTATTGTCAATTAGAGAGGTATTGCGTAATGTACAGTAAGATAGATAAATCTAATTTTTGAGCGACAATAACAGATAGTTCTATATATCTAGTTTGCATGCAATCTGAACACATGTCCGTTATTACTCGAGGAGGTTATAATTGCATTGACAGAATAAAACAGCGAAATGCAAGCGACGAGCGTTTCCGTTCTGAAATAAACACACGCTCCCTAATTTTCGAGTGTTTGACACGCCTCTAACAACGCACATGCAACCGCAAACAATGCCGGGTAGATTCATCACTGACCACGTACACAAAATTACCGGCCGGTGACATACGTATACGTCGATTCGCATATTTTACTCTTCCGTATCGTATATATATTTAAGCGATGTATCAACGGCTTCCGAAAGTTCGGGAGAAACTTACGAAATTACTTTATACAACAAATGCGTAAACACAACGTGGCCATTTAAATAATAACAGAAACGCCAGACAATTTGTTCCAAAAGAAAAAGTCATAGATTATGATCCACACAATCTGAAGATGATCAACGGCTTGAATTTTGAGAAAATGACTTTAGCGTCATCTGTAGATATCAAATCAATTAAATACATTGACTTGTCGATCATTATTATCGCACAATGGATCTATTAATTGAATTACGTACGTCTTTTCTCATATTGTCTTCTATTTGTTTAATAAATAAATATTAATTTTAGAACTTTAAATTCTAAAAAAATACAAGCATATAATTTCAAAAAAATTATTATTTATAGCTAAGAAATGGTTGTCATTAAAATATCAAAAAAGTTTCTTTGAAATAAGATCTTTAAACTTTTAATTATAAATTTTTAATTTGAAAGATTAATCTGTGGATCTAATTTCTCAAAAATTAGCGAAACGTTAAAAAGAATATAATATTAGAAATGATAAATAAATTTTTAAACATTGTGAGATTTTAAGGGGCTTTGCACAATAAAAAGAACAGGGAACAGAGAACAAAGAATAAGAATTTCAACCTATCAGAAATCATGTATTGTGGAATACACAATTTCTGATAGGTTGAAATTCTTATTCTCTGTTCTCTATTCCTTTTATTGTGCAGAGCCTTTAAGAATTCTCAGGCCGGTATTCATATTTGGAGTTTATATTTAAGATAATCTTAAGTACAGTCTTAAGATATCATGAACCAATCAGAAGGCTGCATTAACGACTTAAGACATTACTTAAGACGGTCTTAAAATAAAAACCGACTATAAATACCGGCTTTAGAATTTTTATACGAAATGTTAAACTTAATTCGTATAAAAATTTCCGAATTGACTAAAGTCATATTTTCCCATATTTTCCATGATTATGCGATATAAAATACATACAGTTATTATATGTAAATATTTAAATACGTGTAGCCTTTAAATATTCTCACAATTAATGTAACTTTATATTTAAACATTTGTGATCGCACATACAAAAATTTACTGTTAAAAATTTTTTTCTTTACATATTACACTTGTAAAAAAACATAAAAATAATGTATCAAATTTGAAAAGTAGAAAAAAGTAATGCATACGTCATTTTTTTTTATGGTTGGACAAAGATACATTGTCTGACATCTTATCTTGACATCAGTGTTCGATGTTTCAGTTCTCTCCATGATTCGTTCCCGCCAGACTAACCGGTACCGACCGGTATTTTATATTTTATGAGATTTATACGGTTACATTGCATTTAATTACAGTGTCCCGTTATTTCTAACTTGTTTCTAACTTGCTTCTAACGTCGTTTCTTAACGTGTAAAAAATGTCTGAAGGTAATAGTACTTGAATGTACACGCGGCAAATTTAACCTCTCAATATTTGTAATCTTGTATTGCATGACAAGCTTAACCTCTCAATTCCTTAAAACAAGTCTTTAAATTATATCGAAGATAAATCTTACGAAATCAAGTTGTGTAATGATATATTATAATTAAGAATTAAAGAATTTGCATCTTTCATAAATCGAAACAATATTACA